TGGTCAAATCATCCAAAACGGACCAGTAGATCAAAAGTTATTTATGATTTTATAAATTAAAATATATATAATTAATAATATAAATATGATTAGCTAGTTCAATAGAGCAATAGAGCCAATGGATACTATCCACTGGGCTATTGATAATTTTTCAATGGACCTTATCCATTGCCAACCCTGCCTGGACTCCTATTCAGTTCTCAACAATGGACTAAATTCGATTAATCACTTATCAAAGCAGATCTAATTTGGGGAATAGCTAAAGCCATGTACCCACGTGACTTTTGCCATTTAATTAAAATTAGGATTAGGGTGAGTTTAATATTAGGGTTAGGGTAAGAAGTAGAACTTATATAGTAAAATTACTGTTCTGACATTTTTTATTAATACTCCAAGACAGGTTTAGACTACTGTTTTTGATATTTTTAATGTTTTTTAACTTTTCATTCATTTTTTACTTTGTCGTGTAAACAAAATTTCACAATTTTGATTGGTCGATCGACACAAAAAAGTCACATGGGTACATGGCTTTAGATGACCCCAAATTTAGGAGGTTTGTATAACAAGTGTGGGTTGATGATAAGCATATGATAAGCAATATTTACATTTCAATAGTGAGTTTTAATAATAATTCAGGTTTATCATATGAATTTTGTGATATTTTAGAAATTTATCTAATTAAATTTTAATAAATTCTAAAATATTACAAAATTCGTGTGATAAACTCGAATTATTAAAACTGGTTCTAACCTCTAGATAGAATAGAACTATCAAATGAATTTTTTTACTACATTGTATTATTAAAAGGTATATATATTGGGCTCGAAAGTATTACTTTTAATGACAGAACTATTACATTCTCAATAAACATGCTAGGGCAGAAGTTACGAAAATGGAAACAGTTAACCCAGTAATCATCACAATGTCATATAACAATAATTCGGCCAAGGTTAGGGTTAGGTTAGTATATAGTTTAGGTCAGTTTTTTTAATTCTAGTAAACAAATGACATAATTATATATTTATAATGTGATCATTGATCTCTGGGTTAACTCTTCTTAAAGTGTCCCATGAAAACAACGTATCACACAAAAGTTTGAACTAAAGAAATCAGATATTTTAAATAAAATAGAGGTATTAAGTTACACAATATAATAATAGTAAAATATATTTGCCAATTCATTTTACTTATAAATTTAGAAAAGAGAAAACAACTAAAAGATACTTTTGAAATCACTAATTATGGCTCTTTAACGGTATTAAATTATATTTTTAATACCTAAAATTATTAAAAAAAGGTTTTTATTAATAAAAATTATGATTAAGAAATTCAAATTTCCAATAAACAATTGCTTCATAACTAAAACGGTAAAAATTCTGAAAACCTAATAGTATTAAATCTCATTACTATAAATTATAAGTAAAAAGTAAACTTGTTTTAATTTATTCTCAAAATTTAAAATAAAAAGCAACTGAGTTTATTAAATGAATTTAACAACCAAGACTCTGAAGAGCAACTGAGTTTATTAAGTCAAATTTTAAATAAATTAAACGACAAAGATCATGAAGAAGTCTGGATCAATATCAATTCAATATTAGAAAGAATTTTTGGTTATGATCAAATCTTTAAATCATCAAATAATGAGTATAGAATATATTTAAAACTGATATTCGAGCTGCAAAATTGTGAATTGTTGAAACTATACAAAGAACTCATTAAACTTTGGGTTAGTAAAGTGAAAAACACATTGGCACTTTAAATAATGATCAAACCCTTCCATCAACTCAAAGAGTAGTATCAGCAAACAAAGTTAGCTCAGGCAATTTAAATGATCAAACCCTTTCATTGATTCAAAGAGTAGCAAAAAAGGATAGTTCAAATGAAAATTTAACTTGAGATAAATGGCAAAAAGTCACTGAAAAGTTAAGAGAAAAAATAAATACTTCAAATAACGATGTAATTGAGTCCAATGTAGATAAAGAATCGAATATTGAGACAATAAAACAAAACCTAGTCGAATATAATAAGTTTGGAAAGAATAAGAAGATAGAAAAGTTAAAACATTTCATTAGTGTTAAACATCACTATAACAATCTGTGTCATGTAGCTACTCAAGAAACTCCCCCTGAATCTAATTCCCTAAATAACAAACAAAAAGCATTTGTGAATATTCTTTTTGGCAAAAATCTGCCCCAAAAATTCTCAGAAGGTTTATTTCCCGCTTCATCAGTTCTACCATTAATATATCTGAAAAATATGAAAGAAATATATGGAATGCACTTAATCTTCTAGTCGCTCTACTATCAAATAGAGTGAACTGCGAATTTTTTATTGAAGCTGGTGCTATGACAAATTTTTTTTTAAAAATGAATGAATGTGATCATCAAGAATTTTACAAATGGGTTACCCAAAATGAAAATTATTATCCAAAATCTGTGATGATATCAGTTCAAAAATGAACTTATTTATACCTAATAAAAATTTGATTCATTTAAATAAAGATATTTGTTTGAATAAAAATCATTTGCTTGAATAAAAAACATATAGATGGTTCCTCTAATCAATTTTGATTATTTATTTAGTAATTAATACTAGTAATGGATTGTCTAAGCTAAAATGTTTCTGGGTTGATTAGTTTTAAGCTAAAGTTCTTTAATATAATTGCCAATATTGGTTTATTCCTTGTATCAAATCCATATGAGCCAGGTGCTAAGAAAAAGGACGAAATTGACAAAAAAAAAAAAAAGATCCCTGGAAAATCAATTTTTATAATATAAATCTATACTGCAAAATTTTATTATTACAACTACTTTTGTGTCTTAAATAAAAATGATCCTAACATATTGCAGCAACAATATAATAAAAATTTAGCGTTAGCATTTTTAGTATTTTCGGATTATGAAAAAATTATAATAAAATATAGTATCCACTAATCTTTAATATGAAATTTCCAAGTAGATCAAGTAGATTTATATATAGAATGTCGAAAAGATACATTTTGAAGTTCGTAGAAAATTGCTATATATCTCCTTGATATTCTATATATTAATCTATTCCAATTCTACTGAAGTAAAGAAAAATAGAGGTGTACAACAGGGAAATTTCGAGATATACCATTAAGAGAATTTACAGAGTAGTATTCCAATTCTACTGAAGTAAAGAAATATGGAGATGCACAGAGGGAAATTTAGAGATATAAGAGAATTTAGTAAGATTGGGTTAGAGTTAAGAAAGGAATATTATTAGTTACACATTAGTGATACTTAAGTTCCACTAAATGCTTTCGTAGAACCTAAGCTCCACTAATACTTAAATTCATTAAATGCTTTTGAGAAACCTAAGTTCTACTAAATGCTTTCGAGGAACCAAATACTTTCATGAAGCCTAAGTTCTGCTAAATACTTTCATGAAACCTAAGTTCCACTAAATGCTTTCGAGAACCTAAGTGCATTCGAGAAACCAACCTAAGTTCTGCTAAATATACTTTCACAGAATCTAAATTCTTTTTTTGAGGAATCTAAGTTCTACTAAATGCTTTCGAAGAGCGAAATATTTACAAGAAACCTAAGTTCGCGAAATACTTTCGTGAAACCTAAAGTTCCACTAAATACTTTTGTAGAACCTAAGTTCTGCTAAATACTTTTGAGGAACCAAACACTTACAAGGAACCTAAGTTCTGCTAAATACTTTTGTAGAACTAAGTTCTAACAAATATTTTTGTGGAATCTAAGTTCTACTAAATACTTTTGTGGAACCTAAGTTCTTCTAATTGCTTTTGAGGAACCAAATACTTACAAGGAACCTAAGTTCCGCTAAATACTTTCATGAAACCTAAAGTTTTACTAAATATTTTCATGGAGGAACCAATACTTACAAGCTTACAAGGAATCTAAGTTCCGCTAAATACTTTCACGAAACCTAAAGTTTCACGAAATACTTTCATGGAACCTAAGTTTCAACAAAGGAATCAAATACTTACAAGGTAAGTTCTACTAAATACTTTCGCGGAACCTAAATTCTACTAAATACTTTTGAGGAACCTAAGTTCTACTAAATACTTTCGAGGAACCAAATACTTACAAAGAACCTAAGTTCTGCTAAATACTTTCGCGAAATCTAAAGTTCTACTAAATACTTTCGTGGAACATAAGTTCTAACAAATAATTTTGTAAAACCTAAATTCTGCTAAATACTTTTGAGGAACCTAAGTTCTACTAAATGCTTTCGAGGAACAAAATATTTACAAGGTAAGTTCCGCTAAATACTTTCGTGAAATATAAAGTTCTACTAAATACTTTCATAGAACCTAGGTTTCATAAATACAGTGATGGCCACTAGAATGTTCTAGTAAAAATTACTGGAACTGGAAGATCACTGGAACTAACTGGAAGGAATTAGTAAAATATGTCTTTCAGTGGTACAGTAAGTTGTCACTAGACCCTTTTAGTGAGAAATTTTAGTCTACTGGAAGGAAGTTCTGGTAACTTCTAGTGATTCCAGTGATTCCAGTGACTTTTGTGTATAGCTTTAGCTCACAGAATTATAATACCGAGTTTGTATCTACATATTAATTACTTTTAAATATATATTCAGGTACGTATTACAACGCTTTATTTTTAGCTTTATGATATTGCGATTGTCAACCCTTTTTTTTATATTATTTTTTATATCACTTTCTTGACTTTTTGGACTTGTAGTTCTATATTCAAAGCTTCCACTTGTATATATTTGCAGTAGTAAAAGAATGATCAAGGTATTTAAGGTAAAGTTAGATTTCAAAAATAGACTCTGTTAGATTATCATATTGAGGTTTAAATTCTTTCGATAAAAATACTTATTTTATTTTATTCTTGTATAGAACTTATTAAATAGATAAATATAATATAGTTTTAGATATCAAATATTTTACAATAAAATATAGTTAAAAGTAATGCTTTAAAATAAGAGAATATAAGACATCATTTTTGTATTTTGATACAATTTAAAAATCATATAATTCAAACTTGAAGACAACTTTTTATATAATAAACATAAAAGAAAATTATTCAGAAATAAGATAAAAAAATTTTTTTTGTAATTCTTCTTGTATGTACATATATCACTAGTTGAAATTTGCAAAAACAGTACTAAATCAGTAAACATTCGGTATATCATTCAGCAATCATTCAACAAAATTCTGTAAACATTCAGTAAATATTCAGATACTGTTTAGTACAATCACTTCCACTCAGCATTCACAAATGCTGAGTAGCAGCGATTGTACCAAATAGCATCTGAAAGTTTACTGAATGTTTACTAAATTTTGTTGAATGATTGCTGAATGATATACTGAATATTTGCTGATTTAGCACTGTTTTTGCAAATTTCAACCAGTATATACAATTACTGTAAATAGTTAGACAATTAAAGTTAGTGAAATAAAAGCTATTGCTAAGTTTTTCAAACCTTTATTAAACATTATATTTTTATTAACTTAACCTTTAAATCATTTTATGAGTCAATTGCTAGCATTTGCTTAGATTTAAATTAATAAAGATAATAAGTTTAGAAGATAACTATAAGAAATATATTCTTGTAATTTTATTTTTTAATATAAAATCTTCATGATACTAATTTTTATTTGTTATATAAACTATTTGGGTTTGTTACATTCAATCAAAAAAATTTTTTTTAAAAAAAAAACTATTCATACATATTAAGATAGAACTCAAATAGTTTATATGCAGATTAAACTAAAAGAAGATATTTGTTTCAAGAGACTGGATCTGAATCTAATTATTTAATACTTGGTATTCCTTTTTAGTAAACAGGTTCATAAAAAGATACTATTAAAATATAATAATCATGTATTTACTAAACCTTACCTTTTTTTTTTTAAAAAAAAAAATCTATATTAACTCAAATCATTTTCATAATTCTGTATAGTAAGATTATTCAGAAATATATAATTTTAAATTTTTGTATTTTTACTTTGTAAGTTTAATTATTTTAATGTAATTTGCTTTTGAAATCTAAATACTAATAATAGATACTATAATATTATGAAATATTAAATACTTATCTTCAAATTAGAATTTGATAATATAATCTTCAAGATACTGATTTTTATTTGTTACATAAACTATTACATTCACTCTTCAAAATTTTTTTTTTAAAAAAACTATTAATATATATTAAGATTAGAGATAGATTTTATATATGCATATAATTGCAAAATTATACACATTTTATCCTATCAAGATCTT